TGCATACTGGGCTTTTCTGAAACCCATCCTGACAATTTACTTTCGCCTTTTTGGAAAAACAGGAAGGAGCAATGAGCTAAGTGAGCTTAGTGCTTGGAAAAAATCTTTCATTCCTTTAGAGACAGCATGAAAAGTCAGCTGAGTACAAAACATAGAGAGGAAAACAAGAAGAGAGGGACAAAAAACATAGAACTAATAATGGATGTCTATTCTATTAAAATTTCTGTATATCTATAATGGGTCTGTTTTATGTGTTGTATTCTAAATTCAGAGGGTCCCCTGCCTGGTTTGCCCAGGGCCCCAGATTTCCTGAATCCGCCCCTGCTTATGACCGCTGTGCAGCAAGCCACTGATGTCATTCACACAATAAACGCCTCATCTAAATGTTGTGGCCAGCTTTGTTTATGAACCCAACTTTTTTCCTTCCACTAAACTTTCCACTAATAAGTATCCAACACCACCTCAGCTGTATATTTACAAAATATGATCCTTCATCCTGTAGACGTCATTGTTATATGCTGTGCATCAGGCGGATTTTCTGTAATTCCCTTAATAGTGTGAACCTTAACATTACATTTAAATCTTCAACAAAAAAATCTGTTCCATGCAGTATTCAAAATTTCTGAGAGAATTTTTTTTTAAATATGTGTAGGCATAGTAAAATAAAAACTAATATGAAGCTTTGAGATAAACAATAATAATAATACATTTTATTTGTAATGCACTTTCCATTTAAGAAAAAAATGTCAAAGTACTACGGGTAAACATTTGGAAGAGGCACTATTAAGTAATAAATCTGACCAATAAGTAGCTTCGACCTTAAACTTGGAAAATTACTTTGATCCGTTAATGTAGCTAAAGAATGGAAACATTTATCGACACAATCTCGTGTTTTCCAATAATAAAACCATTTCCAACAGGACTCTAGAGCTTCCGCGGAAATCTGGAGCCAAGAGGCGCGTGCAGGAGTTAGCTAACCTTACTTACAGTTCGGTAAGTTGACGTTACACAGTTTGCAGCTAAACCCTCTGCTCGTCGTTTGTATATCGCTGTCTGGAGATACGGCGCTCATTTTTGTAAATTGGTGGGAAATGAGTTTTGTTTGAGGATAACTATCCTCACTGCGCCTCTCAAATCTCCCTCCAACCTGAGGTCGCCGCTAGTCTCCAGTCCGTCTCCAAAACAGGCTCGGGTTGTACAAGTTTTTTCAAAAAGGTTCCCGCTACGCAAAAATGCTTAAACAGACCGGTGTTCTGGCAGCAAGGCTCATTAACTATCATTAGGAATACGATTTTAATCAACCTGATTTATCTGAAATATGCAAACATTAGTGTGGCATATTTCTATCATCATGGCGGTGTTCTGTCACACCAGCATACCCAGTAAAAACCAGTTTAAACTACCTCAACGGGCGTGTATCCCTCTAGTCACGTACAAAAGAACTGCGTACTTTTGGGTGTTTTTTGAAAGTTTTTTTTTTTTCGTACAAAACCAGAGATAAACGCAAATCTGACGTCTTGCGCGTGCAGATCTTACAAAACAGCGGCACCTGGCGGCAGCGACCTGAAACAGCTTTTTACGTGCCATTCAGAATGCTACACAACCTCAACAGCTTATTCCCCACTGCCACCAGACAGCTCAACTGTTAATTTTTTTTAAATCATGTGTCTCTGTATCACACCGATAACACCAAATCAAAAATACTGCAAGATTGCACCATGTAATTTCTTCCCTAATGTTTACATTTGATCACTGCTGCACTTTTAATGGAAATGTCATCAGAGCTGTACAAAAGGAAATTGGTTTTGTGTACACTGTATACAAACGTTCTCAAATCCATATCTAGCAAAGATAATTCAGATTGTTGCTTATGTTTTTGATGTTTAAATTTAATGTTTTGAAAATTATGTGCTCAAAATCAAAACAGAACCTAATTGAGAAATGTTATCTGTGCAAATAATCAGCCTGCTTAATAGTCTCTTTATTAGAAGTAAACAGGTTATATGCTAAAGGTGCTGAAAAGCACCAAAAATCAAATCAACGGTGAAGAAAATTGATTAATCAAAACCAATTATTATGTTTTTACTGCCCCATAAAATTGTTTTTAATCAAATCTATATGTCCCTAATGCATCTGGGAAACCATTTATTTGTATATTCAAAGTAATACCATTAAAAGATGTATTAAAAAAAACGAAAAAACAACAATTACACAAGCCAAAGAATTTTATAAAAATTTTTTCCCCTGCCAACATGTTTGTATAAGCATAAGTGTACGATACAGAAAAGTAAAAATAAAAAATTCTTTAAACATTGAGGTAAAAAAAACAACAACAGTGCTTTGTTTAAGTATGCCACTGGATCTAAAATACAGAACAATAAAAGATTATTGGAACCCAATTAGAATTTAATATGTACATAAGGATCTATTTCTTTGCTGATCTCCCCCGCCTGGTTTTTGGCGGCGCTCCAGCATCGGTCTCCTCTGCCGTCACCTCAGCACCCTTCGCTCCTCGCCGCGCTCTCTTGGCCGGCTGTGCCTTGAGGTCATCTGAGAGATTCTCCTCTTCAGTGTTGTTGGCCTCCTTTGCTCCATCGTTGCTGCTAGCATCAGCCTGGTCTGTTGATTTTGACCTCCTGCCCCGAACCGACTTCACTGGTGTGACTTTTTGAATTTCACAAACTTCCATCTCTGAATTGAACCGGACTGATTTTTTGGTCGTCTTTGGGTCGATGTCTTTAGCCTTTACGCTTTCGGACGGCTCACCATTGGTCTCCGCTGCCTTTTTGTCGTCTTTGGGCTTTGCCGCAGCTCGTCTCCCTCTTTTTACTGGTAAGACTGGTTCTGGCGCAGGTTCTGATGACTGTGATGAGGATTCTTCAGCAGGTTCCTCTGGAGGCAGGGCGGCTCCCCGACGGCCCCTCTCAGCAGGAACGGTTTCTGAAAACTCGTTTTTACGTCCTCTTGCCCTGCTAGGCCTGCCGCACTGTGGAGATGGAGCAGAAGCTTCTGGGAGGGGATTTTCAGCAGGGATGATTTCCTGAGTTGTTTCTGCTGCTTTTCTGCCCCGCTTTGGCTTTTCGTTAGCTTCACTGTGGGGCTCTGTGGACTTCACAGGGGTTTCAGCAACAGGATCTGGTTTTCCTTTTCGCCCTCCTCTCCGTTTACCCGCTGGCTCGGCTTTAGGAGTTTGTTCTTGCTCTGGATTTCTTGTTCTCTGTGATTTTTTCGGCGGCTCCTGGAAGTCAGAGGTCTCCTCTGGAGTCACCTTCTCATTAGGACTTTCTGCCTCCTCTTCCTGCACAGCATTTCTTCCCCTTTTAGCCCTCAGAGGCAGAGTCTGGGGCTTGTTCTCCACAGGGAGCGCGGGATCGTCTTCCACCTCAGTTGGATCGTCAGCTTTGTTTTTTCTTCCAATCCTCGTTTTACCAACAGAAGAAACGGTTTGCGAAGTTTCAGAATCCGCTGCAGGACATGCGTCTCTCACCGACTCGCTGGGCGTCACTTTAGTTTTTCTCCCTCTGAGCGGCTTGGTGGTCGTTTCCTGTGCAGGAGTTACTTCCTCTTTTGAAGTCTCACTTGAGTTCTCCGAGGTCAGGTCAGCAACGGCTTCAGTGGAATTCTCAGCTGGCTGATCAGCATCTTGAGGCTTTGCATTTCTGGTTCTTGTGGATTGTTTAACATCAGGGGGCGCTGTTGCTTCCACTTTCCTTCCTCTTCTTCCTCTGACTGGAGCGACAACAGGCTTATCTGAATGCTCCTCTGGTTCTGGAGCTTTCTCAGCATCAGTCGGTTTAGCTCTCGTGCCTCTGACGGGTTTCTTCACACCAGCTTCGGGATCTTCCTTCTCCTGATCCGGTGCAGAAGTTACTTCCACTTTCCTTCCTCTTCTTCCTCTGAGTGGAGCGACCACGGGTTCTTCTGAATGCTCTGTGGGTTCTGACGCTTTCTCAGCATCCATCGGTTTAGCTCTTCTGCCTCTGACAGGTTTCTTCACACCAGCTTCGGGATCTTCCTTCTCCTGATCCGGTAGCTTCAGAGTTTCAGGCAACTGGATGACCGTTTCCACGGCAATGTTTTCACTCTCATCTGCTTCTGGAAACAAAAACAAAGTTTGGTTTTGTGAGACCATCACACCACGACTAAACAGGTTAAAACAGGAAGTAAATGACTTGAAACAGGACCCACTTTCAGGAAGGTTCTGCTGCAGCGGTGCTGCTTCTTCTTCAGGTTGTTTAACTCTTCTCCCACGTTTTGGCTTCAGCACAGGCTCCTCCACAGGCGCTTTGCTGTCGACATCAGTTGCTGGGTTTGGATCGATCGTGGGTTCCTCCTCAAACGTGTTCTGTTCCAGTTCGGCGGACTCCTCTTGAGTTTTTCGGACATTTCTCCCTCTTCTTGGCTTAGCAGCAACCTTGGCAGGCTCTGGGCCGCTCTCCTCCACGCTGGTTTGGCTGCCTTCAGCATTCCTGCCTCTTGTGGTGTGTCTAACAGCAGGTGGCGCTGCAGCCTCAGCTTTCTTTCCTCTTCTTCCTCTAGCTTGAACAGACACAGTGATGGCATCTTGAGAAGGTTCGGGCACCTCTTTGATTTCCTCCACTGGTTTTGTCCTTCTAGAGCGAGCAGATTTCTTCTCTGAGGCGCAGGTGGAAGTCGTAAAACTCTCGCTGACGCTGACAGCAGAAGGCTCCACCCCAGGCTGCTGTGGGATACTTCCTGCATCACCCTCAGGGCGTGTTTCCACAGCACCTGATGACTGAACGAATGGAAAAGAAAGTGATCATTTAAGCTCAATTTACCAAATGTTTGATTTGAGCATTTTTCTTAGTTATTTAAATTTTTACCTCAGTTGTCTGCTGCTCTGTCAGGTCCACCGCCGGCTCTTCCATGAGCTCCTGAAGCCCCTCAAAGTCTTCCACTGGAGGATTTCCTCTTGCTCTTGGTGATTTCATCAGCCTTTTGAGGCCAAAGTGGTCTTCTACAGGTTTACCTTTCTGTTTGGGAGTCCTCTTGACTCTCTTCACTTCAACCACATCTTCAAGTGGAGCACTCTTCTCTTCAGGCAGCTTCATCATGCTCTCCACGGCGATAAGACCCGCCATCTGGGGCTGCTGGGTCGGCGTCTGGAGAAGCTCCTTAACACCTTCTAAGCTGATCTCACCGGACCTTCTTGCTCTTGGTGTCTTCAGGAGTTTTCCTCTCAAGTCTTCTATAGGTTCTGCTTTTTGTTTTGGCGTCTTGAAGATTCGTTTGACCCCAGTTAGACACTCCTGCTGCTCTGCTTTCTGTTTAGGAGTTACCAGAAGTTTTCCTCTGATGTCCTCTAAAGGTTCAGCTTTCTGTTTGGGGGTCTTCATGACCCTCTTGACTCCAGTAAGACACTCCTGTTGCTCAGGCTTCTGTTTGGGAGTTTTTAGGAGTTTTCCTCTCAGATCCTCAATGGGCTCGGCCTTCGATTTGGGCGTCTTCCTGGTCTTCTTGATTCCAGAGAGGCGCTCTGGTAATTCTGGGTTTTGTTGTGGAGTTTTAACAGATGGCGGTTCAGACTCTGAGCTAAATTCCAAGGCAGGGGTGTTGCTAACAAAACTGGATTCTTGATCTGCAGCGAGAAGGCGCTCGACTGCCTCGCTGTTGTATCTTAAACTCTTGACTGTAGACGCTACGCTCAGCGGAGACACCATCATCTCATCTGTAAGGCAGTTATGTTTATATATTTTAATGTCTCTCGTCATAAACACTGCACCTTGTTTTTCACATGAAATGACTGGAATTGAATTCCACTTGAACACATTACCTGGTTCCTCCGGGGTTTTTAACACAGACGGTTCCATCATAGAAGATCTTGCTGGGGTCTTCTTGGCACTCCTGTTACTGACCAAAGACCTTCTTCTCCTCTCATTTATTGGCGTTTTGAACATCTCAGGAAGCCCTAAGATTTAAAAAATTAAACACGCATCTAAAAAACTGCAATTCAGAATCAGATAGATCGTGCTCTTTTTTTTGCAGCAGAGAAAGCTTCAACTACCTGTCAGGTCTTCGTCCATTTTCATGTCCCGCTTGGACAACGCAGCATTCATGACCACTTTTGGTGCAGCTCCAGTTGGAGGAGCAAAGGCTCTTTGGTGAGCTCTACCTACGACGATGGTGGCAGGGGATTCTGCATGGCCAGTGCTCGCGTGTCCTTTCAGTTTTCTGGCAGGTGTCTGACATTGCAAGAAAAACACACAAAAAAAAACTTTAGCCATTCTGTTGTGGGAGGAAACTCCCACTTCAGGGTTTTTATAGTTGCTCTCGTTCGCATGTAAAAGGCTGGATGAGGAGTGAGGCGCTTCAGAGTCATTAAACCTGATAAAGCGCAACATAAGAACAGCCCATTAACAATTAATATATGAAACAGATTCAATCAACAGAAGAGCTAACCTGCAGTTTGGACATCACTTTCTTCATTGGTTTTTGTTTGATCTTCTTCTCAGTTGGAGCAACAACTGAAGTCTTGGTTTGTCCAAATTTAACAACATTTGCCCAGGAACTTGGAACCACTATGAAATTGAAAAAAAGGGAACAAATGTGAACATTTAGTTCAAACTGTCACAGCAGACAAAATATGCTTCTTTGATATCAGTTTGTACAAAAAAGGATATTTTTTTATATAAACATAAAGTACTTCAGCATTGACCTCACCTTTTATCGATGCACGGGAAATGCCGCTTCTTCGCTGGAGGACCTTTACTGCACTCTTGCTAACACTTGGAGTCTTTCTTGTTGTGCTCTTCATGCTTTTCCTCCTCAGCGGTATTTTTGGGGTAACAGTAACTGAAGCAGGTTGTTGAATTAATTCTGCAGCAGGAGAGGGAGTCTTGATACGTGAAATAGAGAAGCGACCTTGGACAGACCGGCTTTGGATTTCTGAATTAAATGGTGTTTTAGCTGGAGTCTCAGCCTTGGGTGAAGCGGACCTGGACTTCGGGGTCTTCGGAGCTGGAGTCTCAGCCTTGGGTGAAGCGGACCTGGATTTTGGGGTCTGGAGTCTCAGCCTTGGGTGAAGCGGACCTGGATTTTGGGGTCTTCTGAGCTGGAGTCTCAGCCTTGGGTGAAGCGGACCTGGACTTCGGGGTCTTCGGAGCTGGAGTCTCAGCCTTGGGTGAAGCGGACCTGGACTTCGGGGT